CGCATTGCTGAGAACGACCGCTCTAATGTGGGGCCTGGCTTCAACCTGGAAAAGAACCAGGGTGTCCCCACTAACCTCCACCTGCTTCACACAGTGTCCCCGGCTGCAACATGTTGCTGATCTCCCTGACAGCTCCCGGCCACAGAAATTCCACAGGGAGGTGGGACTGGATGGAGGAAACAGTTGGTTACAGAAGAAGAAAGTATTTCCTGTTGCCCTGCAGAGCTTTAAGGCCATCTGATTTGCAAGTTTGTAAGGTCACAGTGACTTCTTGGGAGGGAGGAGTGTTGCAACTGTTACAAAATGCTGTGAGAGGCAATTCTGGCGAACTTTTTGGAATGAATTTTTTAAAATATTCCCATTAAGTGGCACGGTTTGGACCTGCAGACAGTCCAGCTTTGACCACAGCTCTGCTTCGGATCAGCCTCCGCTTCACTCCAGGATGAGGGGCCGCTGTCCACCTCGGGTAGCAGCCTGCACCGCGCAGCAAGTGTGCAGGGCTGGCATGAGCAGGGACTGGGCTGCAGTTCCAGGACCCTGTCCTCCAGCCTCTCACTGCTCCCCACGCTCCCCCGAGTCCTGCCGCCTGGTAGGCCCCGCCATCCCCCCTCCATCCCCCAGGCGGCACTCACCTGCTCACTGCCCCACAGGTCAGCAGCTCTCCTCCCTGAGCTCTTCTTCCTTTACGCTCCTTCTTCCATCTCGGCCCGCTCCTCCAGGAAGACATCAGTGAGCTCTTGATGAAGTCTAAATTTTCCACGTGGGTTTTTCTCTCCTTCAGTTTCCTTCCCTCAAAGCGTGTGCAGAGTACATCCAGGTCAGTGCCTGGGACACAGTCGACTCAGGGTTCGGAGTCACCCCTGGTAGCAGGAAGTCAGGGAACTAGTGGGCTGGTTCGGGCACGAAATAACAAGACTAAAAGAAAGCATACATCATGAAAATATAGCTCTTTTATTTAGGAGACATCACCGAGTTCCAATAAAAACAGACTGCAGCACCATCATTTTTAATCATAATGTAACAAAGCATGTATTTTTAAAACATCCCACCAGCCCTGGCCGGTTTGTCTCAGCGATTAGAGCGTCGGCCTGCGGTCCGGAGAGACCCGGGTTCGGTTCCCGCTAAGGGCATGTACTTCGGTTACAGTTTGTCCCCGGCCCTGGTTGGTCGTGTGGGTGGCAGCCACTTGATGTGTCCCTTTCACGTCGTCTCTCTCTCTCTCTCTCTCTCACCCTCCCTCCCTCCCATTCTATCTAAACAAAAAATGGAAAAATGTTCTCGGGTGAGGATAAAAAAAACATCCCACCAAAGGTGTCAAGACTACTCTGAAGAGCTTAAAGTAGATCCTGAGAGTGCACCCCACGCCATGTTCAGAGCACCCGCTTGAACAGCAAGGGGCACACACGCGCTCGTCCTCCTCCCAGCAGTCCTACCATTTCCAGCCTGAAAATCAGCAACAGGACAACAGGGCATCCAGCTGGCTCAGCTCCCTCGGACTGCATGGCAAAGCACCACGGGGCGGGAGGGGGAATTACACCACAGAAACGTACTGTCTCACATTCTGGAGGGGAAAGTTCAAAGTCAAGGTGTCTGCAGGGCTGGCTCCTTCTGGAGGCTCTGAGGGAGAACAGGCCCCCCGATTCTGTGGCTCGCCGGCGATCTTTGGTGTTTGCTCCATCTCTGCCTTCATGTTCACATGGCCTGCTCCCTGTGTGTGCCCTGTGTCCCCAATTCCCTTTTTATAGGAACACTGGTTATACTGGATGTGACTTCATCTTACCTAAGTACATTTGCAACAATCCATTTCCAAACACAGTCACATTCTGAGGTGTTGGGGTTAGGACTTCAACCCATAACTCCTAACACACAAAGTGACAGGCAGTGATCCAGACCACCCCAACACCCTCCCAGTCTTTGCCACCGTCACAACCAAAGTATTAGAGCAAAGCAAACTTCAGGTGACCCACATGGGTGCTCTCAGAGGAAGCGGATGGAATGCTCTGTTGACTGTTTCAGAAGAGTTACATGCCCGGCACATGAGCAGTTGTAGATCATCCCCATCTCTTCCATAAACTGAGAGACTGGGCAGGAGGGCAGAAAGATCAGAATGTAGATGGTGAAGGGAGTTCAACACCCTGCTCCCTAACTCTCTAAAACAGGTTATGTCATTTTCAGAAGCGTGTGAAAGGAATAAAATGCCTACCCACCCTAAGCATGCCACATAGGGCTGTAGAGCCTTCAATTTTCTGCAAAGTGTGAGCACCCCTCAACAGTGTTTTCAGCCCTGCAGCAACTAGTCAAGCCCCAGTGGGTTGTTTCACATGATCGCCACTAGAGGGCAGGCCATTAAAACGTTCCTGTTCAAACCAGTTTGCTCTGCAAAAGCAAAATCTGAGATCAACTCCAGATTTAAAAGGTTGCCTTTCTCCCACATATAATGCAACTACACATTCAATATAGGGCAACAACATGGGAGGCACTATCTTGTTTGCACACTGTTGTTTTGGGGGTATGTGAATAAAGCATAAACTCACCTGCTCTTCCGGCAGGGTTTCTTCCGGTGGGAGTTCCTAGTGGTGGAGAAATCAATTGCACTGACCTGCGCAGGTCCTGAGGAGTTTGGTTTGGGCTCATGGGTACCAGGAGTGGACTGACTCGGGCACCCTCTCATGGGTGCCTCGCTTACAAGAGAACTGCTCAGCATGAACATGCCAAAGGAAGCTGCACTCACTTCCTCAAATTAAAGAAGTCCTAAAATCTGTAATTTTATAATTTCTACCTTTGTCACAAACTCTACCAAAAAGAAAGGCTTGAGCAAGCCTGATGGCTTTGGCCCCTTTCTTCGAGTTCGGCTTCTCTTCTCCGCCCCCTACCCCACCCGGAAACCTCTGCTCTGTCTGTGGTCATGTATAGATTTCTATAGATTCTATCATGTCACCTCGATAAGGCCTAATGAGTTTATTCCCAGGCAAACTACGTTTTTCTTCTCATTCCAACACCAGGCTTCCCACTCCTGGGAATGTAGCACCTAGAAACAGCCCCACGACCTCACTGCAGAGTGCTGGCCAGGAAACCCCTTTGGCCTGTGTTTATGGAGAGGTTCCCAGCTCTTCCTTGGAGGTCTAAACAGGGTTTCCCTAGAGAAGCAGGGCTTCGTGGAATAAATGACCAAGAGACCTGGGGAGGGCCAGCCAGGTCACTGGGCTCCAGCCCGTCCCTGTTCAGCCCACTGGCTTCCCAGGGCTCTAGTCCAGGCCAGCCGGAAACAGCCCAGGGCAGCGCCACAAAGCGGCAGCTACTCCGCTCCTGCCCACACAGACACACTGCGTGAATGGGAAACATTCTGCATAATGAGAAAAAGCCAAGAGACCCTTTCAGAATGGCCCTAAGAGAAGAATGACCGGGACCGGCGGTGGGAAGGAAGAAGGAAGAAAACAGGTTAATTCCTTGGTAGAGAGAAGAAAATAAAGATATTTTTTTCAATTGTTTCATTATACAAAATTCTACTTTTTAATTCCTGAGTACATTTTTAAAAAGACTCTTAGATATTTTTAAGTCATGGGAGCAGTGCTGGTAACTGGCCAAACAACAGAGATACAGAGAAACTGAATCATCACCCTCTAGGTCTACCTTCTAAATGCAGGAGAAACTTCCTGTAAGTTCCGAGTTTTGTGGACAAAGCATCCTTTTACTTCTGAGCTGTGTATTTCTCCTTTCTTGGCCTAGAGTTTGCCTAGAGCAAGGACAGACAGGTCACCTCACGTGGATAAGCACATGTCTACAGCACCACTAAGAAAACTCAAGAACTGGGGCTCAGTGATCTCCCGTCACCACAGATAAATCTCCCGCAAGTCAAAATAACATTTTTGGTCTCAAATATCCAGGGGAATGAGGCAGAATGTTTCTCAAACAAGTCTTGGCACAGTGTCAGGTCTGAAAATACTATATGAACCTTAAAATTTTATTTTCATTTAATCTTTGAAGAAAATCTTCAACAGTTCTAAATGACAGATGTCTTCTTCTGCTGTGATAATTAAAATAAAAGTTCGTTTAAGTTGGTATTTCTTCTTTTTAATCCTCACCCGAGCACATTTTTGCATTTATCTTCAGGTAGAGCAGGAGGGAGAGGGGGGAAGAGAGAGAGAAACCTCGATGTGAGAGAGACACATCGACTGGTTGCCACCTGCACAACCCCAACCGGGGCCGGGACCAAACTGCAACCGAGGTATGTGCCTTTAGTGGGAACCGAACCCAGGACTCTCTGGTCCGCGGGCCGACACTTTAACCGCTGAGCCAAACCGGCCAGGGCTAAGTTGGCATTTCTTAAGTGGGTTAAGACTCCTGCCCTGAGCGACTACTAGAAATTATTTTCTTAGATAAGGTTATGAGTATTATCAAGATTTACCTAAGCCCATGAGTCCTGATTCTCATTGTGCATTAAATTTTCAACAAGACCTTCTTAAATATACAGGCTCTGGCCCCCCCATTACAGAATCGCTAAAGGCAAGGCCTAATGACCCGTATTCTACATGGTCTCTGGGCAGACAATGGCCTTAGGAGCAGAGATCTACACACCCTGCTCTGCGTCTCTCGTTAGCCCCCAGCAGCACCAAGACCTTCCCCCATCACAAATGTTTCCTCTCCCTCTCCCACTCAGAGAATCAGACCAGAGCAGCGCTTCTCAAACTTTGCTTCCAAAAACACATGGCAACATCGTCACCTGGGAACCGGTCAGAAGGGTGCATTCTCAACGTACTCCTGCCCCAGAATGACGAAATCAGAAATTCTGGGGATGATGCACACACAGTAGTCTGAGTTAGAACAAGCCATCCCGTGATTCTGATACATGCTGCTGAAGTTTGGGGATCACTGGATTTGACAATTTTGCAATTTCAGGAGAGGAGAAATGAAGAAAGACAGAACTCCAGGTAAGGTAGAACCAAGTTTATTAATGACAGCCTTTATTACAACCACTCTCAAGTGTAAAAAATAAAGGGTGATTCATTAAAATTTAAAACTCACTTGGACCTCCGTTTGGCCTTTTACTGGCTGTGCCAAAGGGTGGGAATCTTGCCTGGTTCTGAATCAACTGGTCAGATGGAGTTCACTGGAGAATGAGGTAATAAACACAAAAGACAAGAACGCCAACCCGAGAGCTCAAGTCTTCTCCACGTTGGAAAGACATTACAGAAGGATGACAGGGTGGGCAGAGATGAGATGAAACAATCTCACAGCTGGAGAATGGAACGCACATCTCTAATGATACAGACACACACACACACACACGTGCAGCCATACACACCCCAACTCTGGAGACTAGATTTTCAAAGAACTGTCGCCCTTTCTCTGAGCAGACCGGCACATCCATCGGCCACAGCGATGCAACGTGGGGCTGAGAAGCTGAATTTCCATAGAGTACGCCAGCTGGCCGCCCAGCTCTGTGTGGGCAAATGTGTCCTCACCGTGGAACAGGCCTGTGGTTTTCTCAGCGTACCACAGACTAATACCTGCTCCCCCAGGAGAATGACATCCTGGTGGACAACAGTGGGACTAAAATCTGGGGGCAAAACTCGTCCCTCCCACCTGGAGTCAGGGCAGGGGTGGGCGGCAGCACCTGGAGGTGGTTTCCACCTGTGACCAGAACCCGCCGCCAGTGTCCTCCTCTCCAAGTATTTGTGCTTTGTCACCATCCTGATGGTTAGTCCGCATGCACGCTTTCCTTTTTTTCTTAATAAAAGAAAACTCAAACCAGACGGAAAAGAAACCCACAGGAAGCTGCTTTCTGATTGTGTCAACACTGTTTTGGAATGGGGTTTAATTCCATTCAAAGAGAAAGGCAGGCAGGCTACGAAGAGGCCACGGCGACCAACACCGTTACGGGACTGTCGAATCCTGTGGAACCTGTGAGGGCCCGCGGGTCCCGCCCCGCCAGGGAGGACGGCCACACCTCGCCAGGCCTCGAACCTGTCCAGTAAGTGCTGACCCAGCCACATGGATAAATGCTGCAGGAAAGATGGCAGGAAGAGGAATGGTGGATCCACAGGCCATGCGGGGAGATTACACACACACAAAATTAATATTCAAGCTTGGAAGAAGACACTTACAAATTTAAGAGAGACTGTAGCTTTCTCTTTTGGGAGACCAAAAGAAAAGAAAGAAAGAAAAAAAAAAAAAAGCCAAAGCCCCAGTTTCCAAAGAATCCAGCACATAATTTGGCGGGCGGGGGTGAGAGAGTATTTAACTAATACCTCATCATTAACCTCATTTTCTCCTTGGATTTCATTGATAAATAAAGCTCAGGCCTACTGAGAGTAGAGGTCCTGCTGAACGTCAGCATCACAACGTGTTCCCGTGTTCTTGCTCAGTGCACGCGAAATACACGACCTCTCTCATCAGGAGACCAAACGTGTGCACGCATGTGCCTTGCTGGACGTGGTCACAAAATCTGACCCCAAGGACCAGCTGTTCTCTTCTTGGGCTGAGTGAGAGCTGTCAGTTCCTTGAGATGGACAGTGAAGGGTGCCATGCCCCACCCTCACAGGTGAGGGGTCCAGTTAGAAAAGGTGCACTTCTTTAGGCCGCCGAACAGAAGGCAGTTCCTTCCGGCTGTGGGGAGGGGCCGAGCCGCCTCTCCCAGCCTCCGATTACTCAGGTGGAGAACAAGACTGTTTTCCACATGTTCAAGTACATCTGGGTCTCCCACCCTCCTTTTCTCTCTCTTTTTTCTTTTTTCTTTTTGGTAAATATCCAACCATCCACAAATTCCTGGCTACAGTAGAGATTCACGGCGCAATGACTTTCATACTGGTTATCTTTTTTTCAAATTCCGTCAGTAAGCAGCATTTCTCAGTTTTACCCCCCAAAACAAGGGGGTGGCAGCGTGGACTCGGCTGGGCACGCCGGAGGGTCCGGAAGGCTGGTCTGTCCAGTGTCTCAGCGCAGCTGAGGCGGGGGTGCGCTCTACCAGCTGGCCCTGACAGCTTCGATGTCGCTGACCAAGTTCTGCGCCAGGCATATCCCGAAAATCTGGGAACAGAGGGAAAAGAGTCAGACAGTGAAATTCTGAATTTCATTAGGTTTTTCCTTGGCCAATGAATCCCCTTTTTCTTATCTTTGATCTTTTAAATCGAGATTGAATTCATATACTGTAAAACCCTTCCCTGTGAAGTGCTCGGTTCAGTGGTTTTTAGTGTATTCACAAGGATGTGCAGCTATGACCACTACCTGACTCTGAAATATTTCATCACCCCAACAGAAACTGTACCCATTAGCAGTTATTCCCATTCCCACAATCTCCACAGCCCTGGCAACCACTAATCTACTTGTTAGCTCTATGGATTTGGCCATTCTGGACATTTCATCGACATGGGATCACATAACATCTGGCCTTTTGTGTCCGTCTGCTTCACGCAGCAAAGTGCACTCAAGGGTCGCTCGCGTTGTAGCACGTACCCGTAGTTCAATCCTTTTGATGGTTTGAATAATATTCCATTATATGGATAAACCACATTTTGTTGGTCCATTCATCAGGTGATGGACATCTGAAGTGTTTCCACTCTTTGGCTATTATGAATAGTGCTACTGTGAAGATCTGTGTACAAGTTTTTGGGCAAACATATGTGTTCAATTCTCTTGGGTACATAACTCAGAAGAGAATTGCTGGGTCATATGGTAACTGTTTAATTTTCTGAGGAATTGCCAAATTGTTTTCCATAAAGCCTGCATCGTTTTTATATTCAGTAGGTCCAGCAGCATTTGTTGAAAAGACTATTCTTTTCACAGTGAATGGTCTTGGTTCCCTTGTCAAAAATCAACTGACCATAAATGCCTGGGTTTAGCCCTGGACTTAATTCCATCCGCCGATCTACATGTCCCATCTTATGCCAGTGTGCACTATTTTGATTACTGTAGCTTTGAAGTGAGTCTGAATTGGGAAGTGTGATTCCCCAACTTTGTTCTTTTTCAAGTTTGTGCAGCTATTCTGGGTCCCCTGCATTTCCATAAGAATTCTAGAATCAGCTTGTCCATATTTGCAAAAAAAAAAAAAAAAAAAAAAAAGCAGCAGTTGGAATTTCTATAGAGATTGCACTGAATCTATGGATCAATTTGGAGTCCTGCCTTTTAACAATAGGAAATCTTTCAATCCGTGAATATGGGAAGGTTTCCATTTATGTAGGTCTTCTTTAATTTCTCTCAACCGCTGTGCCCCATTTGTGCTCAAAGAAAAAGTATCATAGCTCCACAGGACGAAAAAGCCAAGCTCTTGGCACTGCCCAGGAAGAAAATGGGCACTCCGTTTCCTCACTAGCACTTTGGGAAGGTGGGCACAGCATGTCTGTGAAAACCCAATAACCTTATCCTGGCCACTGGGGCCTACTTTGGGCCATTCCTGTCTGCCCAGCTGTCGGCCCATGGGAGGCAATGACGGACCCAATCAATTTCTCCATCTTCAATAGGAAAAGAAAGGTTTCCTAAAGGACTTTAGGATATAGTAGCATCTAAAACCAGAGCTTTAATAAAATACAAACCAAATAACTTAGGTCTGTCCCCCAGCCCTTCCAGTGGTGTCTTAAACACAGTGCCATTAAGGTGATGCAGCAAAGCGCCTGTCCAGGTGAGGGTTCTCCCAGGCTCACTTCCCTGTGACGTCCAGAAAGGAGCCTTGTCTTACCTGTAGCAATGCAATGCCTATGAACACACCAGCCACGATGGTTAAATTGTCCTGCAGCCACTTCTCAAACTGGGGCACACAGCCTTTCGTGTAGATCACGATCTGCTGATCGACTTCCTTCACAAGGGAAGAGAGCACAGCGTCACCATGCAGTCCACACGCCCTCCAACACCCTTTGCGCTAAGCGACAAGATGAGAGCCCACTTACTGGTTTCTGCCTGGCATCATAGCCACACTGAGTGTTGATGACATCTTCCTGGTGGAGAAAGAAAACGGAACAGTGAAATCCACGCCTGTTAGAAAGCCCACCGAGGACTGAGCAGATCCCCCGTAAGTGTCGGTGAGAAAACGTGTGTCTGGGCATGCAGAAGGGCTAGGCGCCTGTTCAGCGCTTTTGTACTTTATCCCACGTGATTATTATAACGATCCTCGGAATCGGGTATCAAAATATGCCCTTTTCCTAACAAGGAAAACAGATGAGGTTCGCAAAACGTCAGAAAGGAAAGCAAGCCCGTTATGGGGAGGTACTAGATTCAGAGCTGACAACCTCAATAAGCGTTTGGGGTTTTAGGGAACTGGAGACAGAGATAAAAACCGTGGTTAAAGGGCACAATTACTATCTTCATTTTTACTGTCTTGGGGGGACTTATTTGTAATCTCTACATCTCTGTACTATTTAAATGGCTTTTTCAATGAGACTACATTACTTAAAAACAAAACAACGCCATGTGGGGAAAGGCAGGAGGGGGTGGGAGTGGGAAGGAGGGGGTCAATAGGGGAAAAATGAGGAACATCTGTAATACATTCAACAAAAATAAGCTAAAAAAAAATTGATGTAAAAAAAACAATAATGCCCTAATCACATATCACATGGACAGATGTTCTGACATCAACAGGCCTGGTCAGAAATGTGAGTTCCCCTCTTTTCGGTTAGTCTTCCCCCCTCTGCAGGGTATGGGTGGAATGTATAAGCTTAGCATTGATGGAATGAGACAGCGCTACCCGGAGGACCCACGGCTGAAAGGGGAGCACGGTGCCTTCTGAGAGCCTTGGGGACTGGTCTGATGGGATGCCAACACGGGCAGGAACTGGAGAAGTGCACAGTGCAGTGCGAGGCTGCCTGGGTGGGCACCCTGGGCTCTGTGCTGGGCACGCTTGCCTTGTGGCCCTCCTCAGAGCAAAGGGAGAAACAGGCCAGTGGGAAGGGTGGCTGTCCTGGCGAAATCCCGGAGCTGGGAGCACAGTGCACTGACTCAGTCTCCTCAGACCACAAGTAACAGCCAGGATGACCACTCCCACCATAGGCGGCCTGCAGGGACCTTCTGCTTCTGCACCCCAAGACCATGCCCCTCTTAAAGAGCCTCACATCCTCTACCTTGCAGGGGGAAATGGCCACTGAACTCATCAGCGCCCACTCAGATCTGCTTGATGGGGAGAAGGGCAGCTGAGGGTGGACACTGGGGGACTTAAGAGAGGCTAAAAAGTCCAGAAGCGACAATGAAGGGCAACTTTTATTTGTCACCCTAACACTAAATTCTGGCTTTTAACTTACAATAAGGAAGTTGCATTTTAAGTTATTCTATATAGCAGGCAGATAATTTGACCCAAAATAATACATTCAAGTCCATGGTAAATATAATATATATATATAAACAAACCAGTTAATTGTAGTCATTACAACTGAGGGTCTGGGCAGCTGTGTCTTCCCACACAGCATTCTAGCCCTATCTTGTCTCAAACTCTTCTATGCCAGTGTGCCCCAGAAGTAAGTCAGGAAAAGGGTCACTGGCCCAAACCAGTGCAGAGAGGTCTCAGGTAAGCCTGTCCTCCTCCAAAAGGGGGACACAGGCTGCCTGGGTCTGCAGCTCAGTGCCAACACTTGCTAGCACTGTGAGCTTGGGAGAGTCACCTAAACTCCACGGACCCTGATTGCACCCAAAATAGGAAGATCAAGTTTGGCATCTGCCCCCAGGAATGTTCCGAACGTAAACGAGCCAAGGCACACCAAGGCTTAGAACAGGAACCGGCAGGCACTGCCCAGTTAACGCCAGCGCGTACCCCTCCCACGGGAAGGCCTGCGCGCGCAGCCCCGCAGGAGCCACCGTCCGCACCAAGCGGTCTCGCGGGGCCCTGGCTGCTCCCCCCACACCGACGCGGTGCGCAGGCGGCGGGCACGTACCGCGGGGTCTTTCGTGCAGCAGGAGAACGGCACGCCGCACCTCTCCCGACTTGCGTTGGAATCTGTGCAATTGAAGTAAATATTTAGGTTCCAATCATCAGCTCCAAAAGCCCCACAGCACTGCCACTAGAGCAAACAGGAGAGAGTTAGAACCTGGCACGGCGGGCCAGCGGCGCCGACGCCCACCCCACCCAGACGGCGAGCCCCGCTTCCGCCAGGCCCAGCCCGGCTCCGAGCTGACTTTTAAACCAAACTGAACCTAAACAGCCCCTGCAAAAGCTTCCAGAATAATTAAGGCTGAAGGTTTGCAAGGACGTGTTGGCATGTGATTTACAAGATCAATGAGACCGATGGTGTCAGGTGGGGGAAGGGCAGGAGCCGACAGGCGGGCTCCGTTTGAACACCAGTCTGGTTTGCGTTGCGCGTGGGAACGTTCTAGAAGGATAAACACGACACTAAACAGTCATGTCTGAAGGAGGCAACTGGGGTTGTGGGTGGGCTATCTAGAGACTTCTTTTTTTTTTTTTTTTTACAATTTTGAACTCTATACCTCAATGGCTTTTTAAAAAATCTGTTTTATTAAGGTATCAGATACACATTAAATGGCATATATTAGAACTGTATAATTTTATGCCCTGGTCAGTTTGGCTCAGCAGGTAGAGCGTGGGCCCCAGGACCAGAGGGTCTGGGGTTCGAGTCCCCAGTCAAGGTCACCTAGTCCGTTGAGTCCTTTGGGAGGCAGCCAGTTGATGTGTCTCTCTCACATCAATGTTTCTCTCTCCCTCCCTTCCACTCTATCTAAAAATCAACTGAAAAATATCTTCAGGTGAGGATTAAAAAAAAAACACACTAAAATTTGATATGATTTTTTTGGACATGTGTATGCATCATGAAACCATCACCACAATCAAAATCCTGAACACATCTATTATCACCACAAGTTTTAGAGGTTTATCTTTCATTATATATCTGTTAGTACCCTGAATTTGTTTTAAATAAGAGCAGGTATTTTCATTTTCAACTTAAAATATCCGGCCGTCTAATTAAAATATAATAAAACAAGCTGTTAAACTCTGCAGGTCTTAAGTGGGGCCTGACCTGTTGTTCTCTAAGGCCCCTGGTCACTGTCCTGGGCTGGACTCTTCTCCCAGTTAAAGAAACATCAAGCCTGGACCATGTTAAAGCTTTCAGGACCAACAGCTACTTCGAAACACGCAATTCCATGACAGAAAAAGAAAATCACATGAAACGACAGCATTTCCACATAAAGCAGACAGCACTTCAGGAGAACGTGAACACGTGTTCCTCTGACGCATCTGGTCCTCTGAGGCTTGAGCAGTGTCAGGTTTGCCTACAGAGCTCCATCAGCTGTCACGCAAACTAGGCAGCAATAACACCTGGCCAGGCGTGAGCTGGCATCCATTATGACCTAACAAAACAGTGAAGTCTGCTGAGGAGATGAAACAGGGCTTAATTTCACACCTGAGTACAGCTTAATCTAGGGCAGGCCTTGCCGACAGGAACAAAACCAATACGACTCAGCTCAGCTCTGGTTCTGAGTGCCTGATTCCCGCGGGTGGCTCCCCCGGGGCGAGTGCTGACTCAGCCTTCTCCCTTTGCCAAAGGGGAGCCCAGCTCATCCAGCCACATACGTTAACATCATGGACACCACTGTCCAGGTCCGCTCAGCTTATCCAATTTTGTTGTTGTTGTTCATCCTCACTGAGGATATTTTTTCACTGATTTTTAGATAGAGTGGAAAGGAGGGAGGGGAGGAAGGGGAGAGGGAGAAAGAGAAAGCCATCAATGTGAGAGAGACACCTTGACTGGTTGCCTCCTGCACGACCCGACTGGGGCCGGGGACTGAACCTGCAACCCAGGTACGTGCCTTCACCAGGAATTGAACCTTTTGGTCCACGGGCCAACACTCTAACCACTGAGCCACAACGGCCAAGGCAGCTTATCCATTTTTTAAGTGTATGCAAATGAACACCTATCAGTTTACAGGACAAGAACAGCTTAAGCCTATCATAAAATCATGCATCTCTTATTCGAGTTTCATTATATCTCCGTGAGTTAAACTATAGCTTTACTGTTGAGGAAATAGGTCAAGGTCCTATTAGCTCAAGGTCACTTGGTCACTTAGCTAATCAGATTTGGGCACTAGATCTGTTATCTTCTGAGCCCTGTTTATACCATTTTGCATTTTGAGTGGATTCTGCTACTTCATTTGCATTGCAAGGGCTGTCGCACAGAAAAGTTCAGACACCCGGGAGGCAGGAGGCTCTACTGTAAACAGATTGTTCACTTATCAGAGGCCACAAGGGGGTAGAACTTGCTCAACTTTCGGTTTAAACCACATGTGCCATAATAATACTGGATAGGCATATTTCAGGAACTTTTTGGACAAGTATTCTATTGATAAGTATATTATTCTGAGCTGTGAAATGTGGAGGATAACCAAAAACAGACAAGGAACAAGGAAGAATCTATATTTAACACCAAATTTAATGTTAAACCTAGAGCAAAACAATATTCTTTAAATGTCGATAGCAAAGGCAACTGTGATTAGAACCTTCTTGCTCATGAGTTTTTTTCTTTGTTCCTCTCAGTAGAAATTAACATAAGTGAGAATAGGATATTTCCATTTACAGCACTAGTCATGGAACAAGTCAGGAAATAATAAACAGACAAGCAAACAAACCAAGAGCCAGGCAGAAAAATCAGAGGTAGGCTCCAGCTGGCAGGTGCAGAAGCCAGGAGGATGCTCTCTGGGGTCATCCTTCCCAGAAGGCTTTCAACGTGAAAATAAACCAAATTTAAACTTACATATTCCTGGGTGAAGTCTATGAGGTTCTGCAAATCAATGTCATCCCTGTATGCTCTGATGTTGTTGTTTATAAAGAAATACAGCTGGTCTTTGATCCAGTCTTTGAAAACAAATGCCAGAACCCCGGCAGTGAGCTCCAGGAAGAAAATGATCCCCAGGAACACAGAAAACTAAGACAAAAGATACAGAGAACAGTTATAAGGGCTACTTTCATCCTGTACTGTTAAATGGTTCCTTCTAAACAGGTTTGTAATGACACTGGGTTGTTACACATGTCCAAAGTAGATAACCTTCAATTTCTTAAGATTCATTAATAAAATATTACACTCCAAGAAAGGATTTAAAACAATCATTTCATAATCACATTTTGGGGCTCTGGTGGCTCCATTTTGCAATTAACCAACAAAGCTCATAAGCAAACATGAATAATAGGAATTCCTCATTAGACTCACATTAAGGCCTAATGAATTTCTCCTGATTAATGGGCTGCCAGACGCTGAACAATGAATGACCCATCCCTACCTCTGGTAAGCTTTTTGTAACATTGGAAAATAAATTATCCCAATATTTTAAGATCACCTGTCATTTGTTACTGTGCCTTGTTGATCCTGTACGCAGTATATTCCTTCTATGCATTCAGACACTCCTTCATTTCCCCTTTGCACCTGCTGTGCAGGATGAAATAGCAGACACGTTTCGAAGAGATCAAAGAGGAAGTGAGGGGACGACTATGACCTGAACACAATTTCCCATCAAGAGAACAAAATTAAACCATTGGGTTGAGGGCCTTCCTTTGTGAGGTGCCAGTCTCCGAATATTTTAAACATCAACATACAGCCGCTGGGAGACTTCTGGCTCGTGTAGAAAGCAGGAGTTCAAACAGGAAGGTGAGAGACCATGGGTAATGTGGTAATTGCCCATAAAACGGGAGAAAACTCCCATCTAGAACACTCACAGAGCCTCGCCTTAGTCATACCAACATGCTCTTCACACCCTCGGTTCTTCCCACCTCCACCTTCCGCCTTCTGTCCCTTTTCAGTTTCTGTTGTTGTTCAAACAGATGATGAGAAATGAGGCTGTGGAGGACCAGAGTATAGACTGCAAGCAAACTTCTGGCGACAAGGCTAGAAAGGGTGACACCTGTGGCCACACCTGCTCCACCGGGCTCCTGCCGGCTGCAGGACGGGGGTGGCTGAGGAGGCAGGGGGTACAGCTGCTGCAGTTTCTACACTGTGCAGGCAGCCAACAAGCAGCCAACCAAGAGAACACTGTCCTCGGGGAGACGGACAAAGAAAACTACTCTGTACCTTAAAAAGACTAAAACTGTTTCTGAATGACCTGGAACAGATCAGGCCCTGAGCTGGGTGGGCTTTGCAGAAGCAAGGATGAGTGGGCCCATACCCTGCCTCCAAAGAGGTTACAGTCATGGGATGTGGGGGAGGGGAAAGGCAGTGAGGTGGGCTGTTTCACACTGGATGTCAGTATTTCTGACTGTTTGCCAGGGTGCCAAATGCTATTCTGGAAGGATGGGCAGGAGGGGAGGGGTGGAAGGAAGAAATAAGTGCCTGGCAAAGTCTAGGCCCTCCAGCTCAGCCCCTCCGAGCTCAGCCCCTTCACAGAGCTCCTGGTCCTCTGCCCTGGGTGAGTTCGCTGGCAACAGGATCTAAGGAGTTCTTCAGGAGCATCAGCGGCACCAAAAATGTCAAAGTGAGCTTTCCTTTCCTCCATCAAGGAAAAGGACAGGAAAACATCGCTTTGTCCTCGCATCTCAGCCACTGGCAAGCCGTCCGGACTGAGGAAGACTCGGGAGCTTCAGGGCCACACGAGCCACAGCCACGGCGCGGCCCCAAGGGCAGGAAGTAGCCGGGAGACCGAGGCGATGCTGGTGGCTTCCACGAAGCGCCCAGGTGACTCTGGTAAAGCTGGTATGGGGATTACCACCTACAGAGGAACCAGAGCTTCTCCCAAATGTCAGCCTTGATCAACTGGACTCAGAGAGCAGACCCAGGTGAACGCTGCCAAAAACAAGGCTGGAGCTGCTCCGATCACTGACGTGGTGTGATCGGGCCACCAGCAAGTTCTGGGGAAGGGAAAGCTCCCAAAAGCAGCCTGTCGTCGTGAAGGCCAGGTTCTTCCGCAGAAGAGCTGAGGAGATGAAGGGTGCGTGTGGGGAGGGGGGGCGGGGGCTGTGTCCTGGTAGCTTGAAGCCACAGGAGAGAAGTTCATTAAATGCTCACAGGTGAAAAAAAAATATCCCATCACTCTCACTCAGTGTTTTATAACGTAGCATAAAACAACTCCCCTCCCTTTCCAGGTGCCACTCTACACGGCGGGCAGCTCGCTGTAGGGCTGACAGCATCATAGCTACCTCGTAGGCATTCCCGCGAAACACCAGGACAGAAGTGCCGCAGAGGTTCTACTTAGATTTTTGTTCTCACCTTTATTTTATTTTATTTTATTTATTTATTTATTTATTTAATCCTCACCCGAGGACATTTTTCAATATTTTGTTCAGATAGAGTGGGAGGGAGGGAGGGAGGGAGGGAGATAGAGAGAAACATCGACGTGAAAGGGACACATCGAGTGGTTGCCAGCCACACAACTCAACCAGGGCCGGGGACAAACTGCAATCAAGGCACGTGCCCTTAGCGGGAACTGAACCCGGGTCTCTCCGGACCACAGGCCGACGCTCCAACCGCTGAGCCAAACTGGCCAGGGCTGTTCTCACCTTTACGAAGGCTGGGCAAGTTCATTTTCTAGTTACCCTGGTACATTTTCTCATAATAAGACACAATATGCATATCAAAAATTAAGTCCAAATTAAATTCTTATCAGATATTCGGCAAAAAACCTGCATGCCCCAGGCCTGTGAGTTAATTTCCCCGTTTCCCAAGGTGCAGAGATGGACTCACGGGCTTCATTCTAGGGCCTCTGTCAATAAGGAAACTCCACCTCTATTTCACAGCATCTTAGCTCTCAATGTCCCTCAGCCATTCTCCTGCCTTACAGCACCAGGCCGGCGAGGCTGTTTGGAAGACACTGACACTGACTTCCTACTTAACTCAAAGACTATTCTAGGCCAGTTTACACCGCAAGTACTAAATGGAGAAAGGAGCCATTTAAAATATTCCCCAAGACTTAAAAAAAAAAAAGCCAGGAAACAATATAATTCTCTTTATTTCCAACATGGGACTTTATAAACTAAGGTGATGATTTAGAGAAATGTATATATTTCTGCCCATTCAAGTTAACTCTAGTATCTTCATCTATAAAAATAATAAAGGGACTACCCTTAGAAACCCATAGGATTCCAGTGAGTCCTATTAAAGGGGATCCCACCTTTGGGGCCATGGAGGCTAAAGATGATAAGAGAGTAGCAGCTAGTAGTATGCTGAGGCCCAAACGGCTACAGAAAAGCCGGGAGGGGAGCTCCGGCTTTGGAAACACCTCGTGCCAAGGGGACTGGCAGGTCGGCAGGGTGTGATCAAGGACAGAATTCTCCTGGGGTCTCTGTCCAGAGGAGGAAGGGTGTGTGGGGGTGTGTTTGTGTAAGATGAATGGAGTTTGGGGACCCTAGCACTCCCACTCCTAGGCCTATGCATGCAGATCAATACCTCACTACACTGCACCCAGGACCAAGCATCCCTTGGTTTTTTCTATTAGCATGAGTCATATGAACTTCCAGGTGAAACAGCCCCCTGAACCCTGGGCCAGAGCCGCCCAAATCCGGACAGGGGCTGGGCACCGAGGCTGCTCTTCCGGGGGTGGCCCAGAAAGATGCCAGCCGGAGAGTGGCAGACGGGCCGGGAGGAGGACCACATTCCACAGGGCAGCTGGGCTAGTTCTGGTCTGCGTGGCTGTTTTACTTCAAAATGGCCCTCGAGGATGCTGTGTCCCTGCAGGCTGAGAATCGTTACATGTGATATGACACTAACACTGTTCTCTAGAAATCCACCATCTTCCCTCACCATAGGTGGGTGGGGTTTTCCCCCGTTTTTTCTGGTTTTGGAAAGGGGAGTGGAGGCCGCTGTGACGCGGCCACCACCACACGCCCACACCTAGGCGGACAGGCACGTCCGTGACCTGGGGCTACACCCGCAGAGCCCGTTCACACCGGCACCTGTGCGCACGGCCGTGCTCTCCCGCTGGAAGGACCCTCCAGAGGAAAGGCTTTCACTTTTCATTCTCTGCTTTTGCTTGTAATACCAGTCTGCCCCTGGGAACACTCCTCTTCCGAACATAGCCGTGCTAACAGAGTCACACCAAACCCTGCAAGGAATCTAACCTTATGCTGGGCATACACGGACCAGTGAGACCAGGGTTCGATTCCGGCCAAGGGCACATTTCTCGGTTGCGATTCATTCCTGGCCCTGGTCAGGGTCCCTCGGGAGGCAACCAGCTGATGTGTTTCTCTCTCTCTCTCTTTCTCTCTCTCTCTCTCTCTGTCTCTCTCTTTCTCCCTCCCTCCTACTCTATCTAAAGATAAATGGAAAAATATCCTTGGGTGAGGATTAAATAAATAAATAAATAAATAAATAAATAAATAAAATTATGCTGGGCATAAAAAGGAAGGAAGACTTTGCCTTTTACTGTTTCTCCATATTCACCAAAACCTACTGCTCACAGATTTAACCTGGACAGGCCACAGCCACTGAGCTTCGTCTGGTTTCTCTAAACAAACTAGCTGAACAACTTCCTACTGATTAGGTGCTTAAAAGAGGAAGAAAAGTCACTTGGAAGAAAATTATGTATGTAGAACTACCTTAGTCCTAGCAGTATTTTAGGCACTAGAATGCAAAGTGGTGATACAGGTGTACACCCCCCAGATAACGTGGGGTGGCACATACACTGTGGTCTAATGACTTGCATGGGCAGGGGGCAGAACTAGAGAGGGTTCTTAAAGGAAAGCATCACCCAGGTCTCAGCTTTGCCAGGGTACAGCCCCCTCTTGCCCTCCTGATGTGGACACGTTTGGTTTTCAACCTGAGAGCAGAGTGTGATACTTACAAACTTGAGTAGGAAAGTGTTTTCCCGGAGAGCTCCAATGCACCCTGCAAATCCCAAAATGAACATCACTCCTCCCACCACAAGGAAGAGCCACACCGGGTCAAAGCCGCCGAGGTCGGTGATGGAAGAGATGTTGGACAGAACTCCCTGGGGGCAGAAAAGAACACAGAACAGGGCACCGGATGCAGGGTTAGTTCTCTGACATGGAAAGATTACTGCAGTTGCCTCTGCCCCCGCCCCCCAAAGAAAAACTGCAGAGGCTGTGCGATTATCTGGTGGGATTAATACTCAGGAGTCGCTGCAAAAAAGAAAAAGAAAAAGAAAATGACTTTCTTTGTAAGTCATTAGACCTTGTATGGAGAAGATGTGGAAATTACCACGTCCCCAAATATACGTGGTCTGGAGTAAAAAACAGACATGAGAGAAAAACATCTCCCCCATACATCTGACACTAATACAAAATAACACAAATTGTAATTGAAAAATAAAGAAGTGTTTACATAGCGGCCAGGCCCAGCCACAAGCCCCTGGAGGTTTCCCGGGGAAAAACTGCACCTCAGCATCCATCCTTGGGCTTCAGAGGAGACCCTGTCAGGCTAAGATCCTCAAAGCTAAGAATTGGGATTTAAATCACAAATCAACGGTTACTCCCTGTGTTTCAACCCTTTCACCTCCTACCACAGCAACCCAGAGTAACTTCATTTCTCCACAAACAATGCCATTTCTTTACTGAAAGCCCTTTCCCCTGAATGGGACTACTTCAAGTAGTATCACTCAAAGCTACATTAGAAATGATGAGATTTTTTTTGGATGTGTGTGAGTCTTAAATACCCAGTATCGTCGATATTTTATTAAATTACTTTAGAACTCTCAAAACACCTACAAAGTATCATGGTCTAGTTTGCTATAAAGTCTTACTATTACATCATTTGTTTCCCCAGCATTCCCAATAACCTGAAACCATAAAGTATTCATCTAATTTTATAGTTGAGGAAAATGTACCCTAGAGAGGTTTGGTGACTTGCTGAAGGTCACACAGCTATAAATAGCTTTGGACCCAAAAAAGGATGCCTACTCCACTCCCCTTTTTCTACCACGTGAAGCCAGGTACTTGCTTCCAAGCACCTCCCAGTCACCTGACTTCAGGAGGTTTAAGTTTCAGCTCATTTTAAGGTAGTAGGAACATTTGGACAGAGTATGGTATTGGTTAGGTTCTTGTTTCTTTGGGACAGTGGGAACATCACCTTAAGAACAATAATAGGATATTAATCTAGAACAGATGAGGAATTAAGAAGCCTTAAAATGTACAACTTAAACCTTATGAAAAAGGCCAAGGGTTTATTAAATAAACCACAGACAAAGGGTTGCGAGAATATGAAAGCACTTTGGAATGAAGGGTGTATTCACTAGCTTCTGGGGTGACATCACAAAAGGCAGCCACACCCGTCACCAGGCTGCAGAGACCAGAGGTTTGATACAATCTTGTGTTCTTTGATTTCCAGCTCTGAACTCTGAATACTGGGGGGCACTGTACAGAGAATACGATAACCAATTCTTCACCTGCACAAATGATGCTACGAAAAGTCACACAACATGTAAGCAACAGTGGTGAGGATCCAGTGTTAGAAATAAATCAACCTCTCCCATCAGAATATTTTAATCCTCACCTGAGGATATTTTTACATTTATCTTCAGACAGAGTGGGAGGGAGAGAGAGAGAGAAACATCAATGGGTCGCCACCTGCATGACCCCAATCGGGGCCGGGGACGAACTGCAACTGAGCTACGTGTCCTTAGCTGGAATCGAACCCGGGACTCTCTGTTCCGAGGGCCGACACTAACCGCTGAGCCAGACCAGCCTGGGCCAGAATGCCTTTGCACACAGATGTGGGGTTTTAGACCTTCTTGGCCAGGAAACAGAAGTCTTTGCAGCTACATGATAACAGTTTTAAGTTGAAAAAGTCAACTTCATTACGGGAGAAATAGACTCAATTTACTTGACACCAAAAAGAAGAGGCAGCAAAGGAGGAAGAAACAGGAGGGGGCTGTCCGCTGGGGGCTCCGGGACAGGTTTCACCCTCGAGGGAAACTGGGACTTATAGACATTTAGGTTCCTTCCAACTTTAAGAGCATTCTATGGTTTCATCCATTTTCAAATGGGCTTTTAACCTGTGATTCACACTCAAGTCTGCACAAAGATCAGATTGTTCCCGCTCTCCCGTGACCCACAGCTGCACACACACAGCTCTGTGACCCACAAGGACAGTTATCTGGGCAACTCTGGCAAACCAAGCAAGCTGACCACCACACCTGTGCCTGAAACGCCAAGGTCCTGGGCCCAAAGGCGAGAACGTGCGGCCCCAGCTGGCAGTAGACGCCGGGATCATCTGTCCTCTCTGGGTTTTGCCTGGAGGATGAGAATCTGGCTTCGCAGACAAACTTATTTTTATACTTTTACTCTCCCCAGCCTGCAGGTTCCATTTTAATTGCAAGGCCTTCCACTGTTTCCATGGAAATGACAATCATTGGGGGGGCCTAGCTGGACTGCAGATTCTACTTATTTAATCCTAAATTCTGGCAAAAGACAGGGCTGGAGACAGATACGGAGAGGGTGTGGGAAATAACATTCTGCAAAGCATAGAATGACCAGGAACTTCATTTTTAATGGATTAGGAATATACCGAGGTAGTTATCAGTCGAAAACTAACTCAAATCTCAAAAGACAAAGTGTGGACGTCAACGCCCAATGCCCTGAGGTTGGGACCACTGACTCTCACCTGCAGTGTTTGCCAACAGGCACTGCGGGGAGGGTCTCCCAGTCCTACCTACCCCGGGGGATGGGGGGAAGCGGAACAGAATCCTGGCAACGAAGACTGGATCCTAACAAAGGGGAGCTGGCAGTTCAGCCTGCTGTCGTCTTCAAGATGGGGTCTCTCCTCGGACTTTGTAATTTTGTTAAGCTCAATTTGACAAATGAATCACAAGTGCTAGAACATGCCTGCCGCAGAAGAATTATAATTAAAGCTTGTAGTTAACAAGAAGCCAGGAGGAAAAAAAAAAAATCTAAGATTACAGTTAAGTCTGCCAAGTGATTTAAAATAGGCACTCATTCGTGGTAAATCCTCAGGAATGTGTAAGAAGAATACCAGCAGACACCTTGTCTTCTGGGAACCTGGGGGTACCACCCTCTTCAGAGGACTGCATTTCCCACCTTCTTTCAAGACTGCCTTCTCCCCCAAATCCAGTCCATGACCCCCTGAGAGCTGCCGGTCCTCACATGACCCCACACCTGGATGCGAACAGGAAGCCTGAATCCCCTTCCTGGGGAACCAGGACCTCAAACAGGCACCCCTCCCCCATGGCCGAGGCATAAATGCCCAGTTCTGGAGCCCTGTGCAGTATGGTTTTTTTTATCACGTGGAAAAAGTCAGTCTGTAGTGAGAAACAAAAAGCCAGCACTTATAAAGAAACAAAGGATTAGGGGAGGGTGGGAACATCCTGACTATTATAACCCCTGCCTGGCCACAAGCTCGGTGAGTGGCTGTTGGATCCTCAGATACAGCCCCTTGGCCACGCTGGTTCCCTGGGGTCTGCATTTGCCTGGGGAGTCCAGCACCACACAGCAGCAGCTGCAAATACACTACACTCGAGCGCCGCGTGCGTGCACATACACGGATATGTGCGCGCGCGCGCGCGCACACACACACACACACGTGACCAAAACTGGAGCTCACACTTTATGCTGGAGATAAAGTACTGGGCTTGGGTGGGGAGCAGGCAAGAGGTAGAGGCAAGCGTTGAATTTAATATGGTTCCTTTTCTCAGCTGGCTGATATTTCCAGTCAACATAACCATTAAGCCAGTGTAAACAGTCTTCCTTCATGTTGACTCACTAGCAACTCGGCATCCATAATGACATGAGTTCTGCTTTGCCCATGTCATTGACAAACACACGATGTAAGCTCCATTCTCCATGTAAACTTGAATGTTCAGTCCTTGGCTTTACGTGCCAACTTATTAGAACTCAAATTTATTGGGGGGAAAAAAAAGCAAAATGTCATTTGGCTCCTCTCCTCTGTACCCAGACCTGGTGCTTACACGAGCGGTGTGCACACGGAGCCCGGTGTTGTATCACGGGTGTGAGTTCTCATCCCCGTGGATCCTGCAGGCAAAGCCCTGGGGGAAGATGGCAAGGACACTGGACTTTGTGGAAGAGTCTGAAGATTTCCCATGAAGCTCTTGCCAGTTTGGCTCAGCAGTTACTGGAATGTCGGCCCTCAGACCAAAATGTCGCAGGTTCGATCCCTGGCCTGGTTGGGGTCATGAGAGAGGCAAACAATCGATGTGTCTCTCTTGCACTGATGTTTCTCTCACTCCCTCTCTCCCAGTCTATCTAAAAAAAAAAATCCTCAGGTGAGGATTAAAAAAAGAAAATATCCCATGGAAGCTGAATCAAATTGGAATGAGGCTCAATGGATGAGAAGCAGAGCAATAAACCATGTGTCCTTATTCCCTTCACCATGTCTTCTGGCCAACATGAAAGTGGAATTCTGAACAGGAGTGTCAGAGACAGAAAGGCAAAGAATAAGAGAGAGCCGGAGACCAAGAATGCGGGTCACAAAAAAAACTTATTCAAGTACTACAGACTCAAGGATATAGGACGGTTCACTATATATATCTTTTTTTTTCCTTTATTGATTTTAGAGAGAGAGGAAGGGAGAGGGAGAGAGCGATAGAAACATCGATGAGAGAGAACATCGACTGGCCGCCTCCTGCATGCCCCCCACTGGGAATCGGGCCCACAACCTGGGCATGTGTCCTGACCGGGAATCGAACCGGCAACCTCCTGGTGCATGGGTCGACGCTCAACCACTGAGCCACACCAGCCGGACTACACACATCTTCTTCACTGCTACATTAGGGTTATGTTAATAAAAACAAACATGTATAAGAATTCTCCATATCCATACCATCTGCTCCCAGATCTATACACTTCTGTCCTCGGTCATCCAGGCCCACACCTGTTGCTGCAGCAGGGCACAGAGGCAGAAACAAGCCAAAGAACACCAAGTGCTGCGATGAGGTCAGAATGAATGACAAGGTTTCTTTCCCAATCCTCACCGGAGGACTTTTTTTTTTTTTCAATT